TCTCTGGAGAAATTTATATGGCGTTCAATCAATCCTTATTATTAATAGCGCTTCTAAGGTAGCCTTAATGGGCTTAGCTGGCCCACAATGACAAAGAAGGAAGACGTTTTATACTAAGATTTCAATCTTTTGCTTTCATTGTTTTTTGCAACCCAAAAACTGCAAGAAACTAACCCTAATAGCAGGTGTTCCACTTTTATCTCCAATCCAGGATCTGTCAGAAACTACCCCACAATTGCTCTTATTCATTGATAACCGCTGAAAACTATCAATTTCTCGAAATAGAGAACTACCATGTTTACCAACAAATGCTTTTTACTATTTTTTCCTAAACAACGCCACGTCTTTGGAGAAATTTATATGGCGTTCAAGTGCCTTCTCCCACGAAGGAATTGCCGGTGCTTAAAGTTATATTTGTAGCCCACAGCGGGAACACATGGGCTAATGGCGTCAATGTAGAGCACAGTTTCTGCTGGCATGAGCCACAAATCAATCCTCATTATTAATAGCGCTTCTAAGGTAGCCTTAATGGGCTTAGTTGGCCCAAAACGGCAAGGAAGGAAGATGTTTTATACTAAGATTTTAGTCTTTTGCTTTTGTTGTTTTTTGCAACCTAGGAACGACAAGAAACTAACCCTAATGGCGGGTGTTCCACCTTCATCTTCAATCCAGGATCTGTCAGAAACTACCCCACAATTGCTCTTTTTCATTGATAACCATTGAAAACTTTCAATTTCTCGAAATAGGGAACTACCATGTTTACTAACAAATGCTTCTTACTATTTTCTCCTAAACAACGCCACATCTTTGGAGAAATTTATATGGCATTCAAGTGCCTTCTCCCACGAAGGAATTGCCGGTGCTTAAAGTTATACGTGTAGCCCACAACGAGAACAGTTGGGCTAATGGCGTCAATGTAGAACATGGTTTCCACTGGCGTGAGCCACAAGATTCTGTTTCTCTTGCTTTCGGTTTCAAGGTTATATTTTTAAATAAAAAAATTAATTATATAATGATTTTTTTAACATATAATTTTTTAAAAGTTTTAAAAAATATAAAATAATATTAATTTATCAAAAAAATTTTAATATGTGTATATTAAAAAATCAATCCTTATTATTAATAGCGCTTCCAAGATAGTCTTAATGGGTTTAGCTAGCCCAAAATGGCAAGGAAGGAAGACGTTTTATGTTAAAATTTCAATCTTTTGCTTTCGTTGTTTTTTGCAACCCAAAAACTGTAAGAAACTAACCCTAATGGCGGGTTAGGAAAGAAAAAAAAAAAAAGGATAATTCCCTTCACGGATGGGCAAGTCACATCAACCAATAAATTTGCGCCACGTGCGTAAGAAGATGCCAAGCCCAAGCATCACGCGCACTCTAACAGAGGAAAACACAAACCCAACGGAATACGTAGTCGAGATATAATCGTGTCGCCTCCATCTGTCTTTCGCGATCGTCGATTACCAAATCGGTCGGCCTATTTACCGGCGGAATTGTGAGTTCTTCAATATTCTGTTTTGATAGTTCCGATTAATTTCAAACATTTTTCTTTTATTTTTTCGATTTTTTATTTTTTATTTTTTTGCGTTAATAAATGGTGGAATTCGCGATACGAGATTGTTGATTCAGCCTTGAGAATTTTGTTTCTTATATGAGATCTAGCGATTGGTGTTTGAATCTGTTCGTTAATTCAATTTGAATGAATTTCAGAGTATTCTATGCATAAATTTGAATGAATTTCTCAGGGTTCTATGAATGAAATATCTATCTTTTCGTTTCTTTTCTTTTTTATGTGCTTCATTTTTGAGGGCATCAATTTATCATTAGTAATAAACACTCAAATAAAATTAAGAACCTAAGATTTGATTGTGAAAATAATCACATTTTCCTCTTTTTTTCATGTTCTTTGCATTAAGATGTTGAACTTTTTGAAAAAGAAGAAGAATATTGTAAGGAAAATGGAAAAAGAGGAAAGAAAAGTGTTCTACTTATTTATGCCTATGTTTTTCTAATATTGGTGGTTGTTTCTACTGCATTCTTGAATGTATTCTCATATGTGATTCTGATTTAGGTTCTAAATGGCAAGTGGGATTGGGGAATCAGCGAGCAGACCACCCCAAGGTCCCTCTTGCTCTAGCAACAATGGTAATAGTGAAGCTGGAAATTTTGAATGCAATATCTGCTTTGACTTAGCTCAAGACCCGATTGTGACTTTATGTGGTCATCTTTTCTGCTGGCCGTGCCTTTACAAGTGGCTTCACATTCATTCTCATTCCCAAGAATGCCCTGTTTGTAAGGCCCTTGTTGAGGAGGAGAAGTTGGTACCTTTGTATGGAAGGGGGAAGTCGTCAAGTGACCCTAGATCAAAATCCATTCCGGGGGTTAATATTCCTAATCGCCCATCTGGACAGAGACCTGAAACTGCTCCTCCCCCAGAACCAAACAATTTTCCCCAGAGTGGATTTGGATTCACGGGAGGATTTGGAGGTTTTGCACCAGCTGCAACAGCACGATTTGGGAATTTCACACTATCTGCAGCCTTTGGAGGTCTCATCCCATCTTTGTTTAACCTTCAGGTGCATGGATTTCCTGATGCTACCATGTTTGGTACACCTGCTGGGGTACCATTTGGGTTTTCAAATTCATACCATAATGGCCATGCCCACGTGCGTCATCGGCGTCACCATCTTCATACTGGTCAAGGCCAGCAGGATTACTATTTGAAGATGATTTTTTCAGTTGTTCTTTTTTGTGTTTTTCTTGCGTTGTTTTTGCAATAGATCAAGTCTGCTATCAAAGTTTATACTGCTAATGGAGGTTACTTAGGAGTGTCAAATCCCTCTCTTGTAAATATCTGAATATCTGACTGCATTTTGTGTTTTCTGTTTTGTAATTGAGGGAATTGTCCATATCATAGTTTTGGTATTTTTGCCTCCTTGATGTTTCCCTAAACATGCTCATTGCAACTTGATTTGTTTGTTCATTACTAAATTGTAAAATTATTTTGCACTCTTATGGTTCAAAGGTATGATTGTAGTGCTGGTGTAGTAAGCAGCAGTGTTGATCATACATTTGCTTTGCAGCAGCTCCCCAAAGTATGAACATGTCTGTTTGTTTTACCGACCATTGAATTGGCTCCACTTTTTTT